TCCGAAAATACACCGTTTAGTCGGAGTTGTCATTTCCAATTAAAAGAGACACTGGTGCAGGTCCCCAAAAGCTTCCTCAGCCTCCAAACTCCCTAGAGCTGGACCCTCAAACATCAGAGGAAAACAGGAGTAAAAGCAAGCATTCGAACGTCTGTCCAGTGGTAGATGCAGCACTAGTCGCAGATAATGTGGAACCTGTGAGGGGCGACAGTCTGCGTGAGAAAAGCTTTTGGTATTTTAGCTTCAGGACAATTTGATTTAAGTAAAATCTAAATTTTAGGGCTTAAGGGGCTAACAACGAGCTAGACACCTTCGCTTACGTTTGTTATTAGGGAGGAGATCGAACGGTGGCGCTGCCTAGCGGCCGCCGTCGGAACTATTCCGCGGGAATAACAATCCCGCTGCTAGTATTCGTTCAGCTATGGAGGACGAGGACTTGAGGTTCGTAAAAGGTATGTGGATAATATTTATCTGCTCCAAAAGCATCTGCGTAGGGGTAGCATAGTCCCTGCTTGTCTCACCTTGCTTTAAATGTCGCCGCATTCTCGTTGGAAGCAAAAACTAACCCACGTGTAGGCACTCGCGATTGGCCACGTCGCTCCGGCTGCGCGCGCCAGGTCGTGCGTGACTGACGCGGTGTGGCGATGTTTGTGCGCTTCCTACGTTGGAGAAACCATATTCACGAAACACGCCATTGCTTTTCAGTCTCCCCGTCCCTTGCAACGGTCATCAGCCACACCGGCGAGAGCAAGGAGGGCCTCGTTGAAAGCGAGGGCGTGCTGAAATGTGATCATGTAATCGAGCGCAGCGTCGCCCCGGAGAAATTTTCCCCAAAACATCAGCCAAAATAGCCATTACATTGTTTTTCTTGAAATGCCAAAATACAGAACACACTGGTGAACATTATAATGTAAAACGTGGCTAATTAGACTGCATATAGGCATTAAACGTTAAAAGTTGTCGTTTTCAGTTTAATGTATCGGTTATTCAAAGGTGCACGGTTCACGAGGAAATATCAATGAGTTCTGCACGACGAGGACTTAGTCACACACACATTTGCGTTGCTCAATCGAAATTATAGGAATCGCAAAATGATTCCCTCAATTGCGTAAATAACACAATACCGAACTGATACTGCTACATATTACGTTCCAGTGTAAAAGATAGCCTGGAATAAAATAGTGATCAAATGATAGCAGTACTTCTCGGTGGCTTCCGAAGCCTCACGACCCGCTCGTGTGATCCCTTCGGAAGATTCTTCGACGGAACGGCGTTGCGTGTCACGAACCTCCTCTTGTACACTGTTATGGAATAAGGTAAGGATATTTTGCCGGCAGCCGGCACAACCACTCGGGGAAATAAAGACTGCCAGGAGTTTCGGACGGCAATGATTATTCTAAAAAAGAAATAAATATAAATCGCCAAATGTTTCACAAAAAAAAAAAAAAAAAGAGGTCGCCTGCTCTGGTTTAAACCTGGGACGCACAGCACGTGAAACTGACACTTTTTTACTCAGCTACTCGCACAGCTAGAAATTCCCGTTTTGACTATTCCTTTTACCTAATGGAAACAACTCCCGGCAATAAATTTATTTTTTTTTGTTGCTCGGTTTGTTGTGCCGGTTGCCGGCAGAATATCTACTACCTTTAAAATACAATGTACGGTTTGAACGGATGTCGATGCAAACATGATTTAGGCGCGTACATGCCTCGTCCATCAGCGTCGTTTGCTTGGAAGGCATCGCTTGAAAAGAGACGACCACACACCACGTCGTGCGCAGTCAACTTCTTCCCTACTCTAACTTATCCACTGCGATTTGATTTTTTTTTTGGGGCATGAAAACGATCAAAACTGATTCCAGGCTCTAAACCATGCTCTGAGCACTGCGGTACGCCAACAAGAGCGTACTATATTCTAACAAACCTGCAGGGAAGGCGGCAACAACACGGCAGCCAACGGCAGCACACTGGAACGCCGGAGTTGTTTTCCATGCAGGCGGTACTTGTTTTGGTGAACGCAGCGCCCCTATAGTTCGATCTCCTCGCCAATACATTACTTGAGGGTTGATATATACAAGTCCACAGATACCACCCGTGTAGTCCATTGAAATACTATCCGAATCCAGCAAAGGTCAAATGCGAGTAATGTATATAATAAATGTTCCTTGTTTCTTTTTTTCTTTTTTTTTTTTTTTTTTTTACTTTGCCCCTGCACTTGGGCTGTCTTACTTGTAATTCTCTCTTCATGGCCCAGACTGTATTTAACATGTTGCTCGAGCAGCATGCAGCTTTTCTGCTTCGGCGATCTTGTTTAAAAACAGAGATACAAAAAATAATATACATAACCTGCCAATTCATTCAGACCATCAGCAGCATTTATTGTACAAAATGTAAATCTATAGTGATGCTCCTGCAATTGTGGCCATATTTCTTTATTTTCATATACCACCTGTGATTCATACGTTGCCTGCCCTGTCAACCATGCTTAAAATGTTGGTTGAAGTTTCGCCTGTAGCTACAGGCCATCCCTCAATAAAGGCTCAAATAAAAATTTACACTTCCTACGAAAAACATGACAAAAAAATTAAATAGAAACGAGCTCGCCGTCAGCTATAGCGTCGTCACAGCCTCCACAGTGAGCCGAGTCGGGGAAAAATTGTCTCCTCGGCCGTGACGTCACCCCGGTTCGCCGTAAGGGGGCGCCACGCGAACTTCTCGGGACTAATCAGGGGGGTAAAGGTGGGTGAGGAGGAGTGGCGAATCCCGCGCGCCGACATCCTGGGTCCCGAGTGAAAGATCGCGAAAGAGAGCGACAGAACACGAGAGAAAGAAACCAATGTTGCCAGCTGAAGGACGACAGTCCCAATGGAAATCGCGAAGACTGAAAACTCTCAGCAATATAAACAGTGATAATTTAACGTTGCAAACTAAATTCTGAGCTATTCTAAGGTTTATAAAAAGCAGCATACTCATTACGCTGCATTAACTTCCCTTCTGTCGAAATCTCGAAAATCTGGTAGTTGCGCGGTTTCGTATCTGGTTTAGTTTCGTATTTCCGGGCGCGGTCACGACCGGAAATACGAAACTAAACCAGATATTCGAAGCCGGGTATATGGTTTAGTTTAGCCTTAACGCGAGGCCGTACATCTGCGCGCTATGCAAAAAGAAAGCTTCGAAAGGAACGCGAATATCTTTCCACCGGTAAGTTCGTGGATTGTTGAAGTTCATGACACTGCTCTGATGATATATTTGTGAAATCGAAGGCAGTTGGTAACCATGTGGGACCCCGAGGGTCTGCCTGCATACTCCGCCGCTTGCGGCAGCCAGAATGCATGGGAAAATGGCGGACCTTTTCCTCTAGAGTTAGTATGTATGATCTCTATGGGGCTAATATAACGGAGCGCTCGTGTCCAACGGGTGCTAACATTGCAGGACCAACTAATGGCGGCCGCACATAATCATTTCGAAAAGGGTCTAGTAAGCGGCTCCAAAGATGCCTCGTCACGGCTCTTGTAGTCTTTGCAGCAGGGTTGTAAAGTACCTAGGTACAAATAACTGTAAATCGGTATCTAGGTACTTTTTTGTACCTGAGGTACAAACCTAGGTACTTTCATTTCTCAGTATCTGTATCTTAGGTACATTTTCCAGTAACTTGTAACTAAGTGAAGTTACTTTTTACAGGTACTTTTATATTCACTTCTTCAAAATCGTAGAAAATACAATATAACATATAACTGAAAATAAATTATAATTACAGTCGTAAAGCAATATAACATCACGTAGTGTTTCCACGCAATAAATCGAACTCAAATTTTGCTCTTTACAAAACTGAAAATGTTTGTGCAGAAAAAAAAAACAAAAAAATCTGGGAGGACGATTAACCTTCGCCTTTATGAGTTGAACGCGATAGGGTTATCGGGCCCCGTTCGCATGGCCTTCTCAATTGCTTCTCATGCTCTTGAGTCACACAACGACCTAGTCCTTATGATACAACACTCCCGGCGCAATCGAGGAGCTTTTGCCAGTGGTTTGATGCCATTTTTTGCCCCGCAAGGTTTATTTATGGGTTGCTCAGCACGCGCTAACAACACTCAATGCGATAATGCCTTTACCCTGACACAAACAGACATCGAGGCACTTTAATGACGGCAGGATCGCAGTGCCATTCCCAAGCCCTCCGTTGCCTCGCCGGTAGCTTGTCTGGCTCGCAACCGAAGGGTCGTGGGTGCGATCCTGCGTAAATTCTTCTAATTTTTATTTAAGGCAAATGAATTAGTTTATCAAGTGGGATCATTTGAAACATGCGGCGACCATTAATTCGTATGTCTTTAACCACCTTCATTCCACGCGTACGTCACGTTTCACATGAGCGTTGTGGGTTGTTTGAAATTCCCGCGCGAAGTCATGTGGCTGTGACGTCACGACCCTATCGACCATTCAGGAATTTTCCGTCACGCCACCGACGCCACCGACATCCAACGGATTTTCTGTGACACGAGCTCCTAAACGCGCTCGCCGTTAAAATATTCTCTGCCTTCCTAAGAACATTGACACCAATAAAGCACGTTTATCAAACTTGTTTTTGTGTACATCCCAATATACAAAGGATTTACTTCCAATAATAATGTGACAAATTTGACAAAAATACTTGACGTGAAAGTAAAAAGTACCTTTGAAGTAACTGTACCTGTATCTAGGTACATTTTTAAGCGAGTAGCTAGATACGCACCTAGGTACATTTTCGTATGAGTAACTGTAACTGTATCTTAGGTACATTTTTGAAGTAACTTTTACAACCCTGCTTTGCAGGTTGAGTTGAGCTTGCGTGGTCAATAGTCTGGTGCCCGAACAAAGCGCTCTCCATCTATACATTGTCCACAGGCTAGCTTTTCAAAGCCTGTCAGTTTTCACACGAATACATTTGGACATTTATGTTACTCGTTGGCTGACTAACCCCGCATGCCAGAGTGCATAACGAGGGCCCAATGGCGTGTCGTGCAGGGCGTGCCGTCACTGCAGAGTCCTCCGACGCCTCCCACGACACCGCAGCAGGCTCGCTTCGTCACCTCGTCCTCGGTGGTGCACGATCCCCTGGCCCTGGGCTCGGCTCTCCAAGTCGACTGCGCACCTCAGCACAGGGGTCAGTATCCCAGAGCCGTCCTCAACGGCCCACTCAGCTCCCATAATCGTATGCCCCTATTCACTGGCGGCCACAGTCGTGTCATAGCCTCCTATACTGACAAAGCCTGGCGGATCGCCACGAGAAGCGGCCGCCGAAATGGAAAAGGTAGAGCGGCAGACAACGGATGAGAGGAGAGCCACGTGACTGGCGCCCCGCTGTGGCGAGACGCCGAAACACACTCCTCCCGAGCGAGCAAGTGTGTTTCGGGTCCTGGCCGCTGCAAAAGCTGTGCGCTGACGTCCGGGTTCTCCGAGAAATGGCTCTTTGACGCTCTATGCTACCAGATCCTCGCGCTCCAAATCTGCGACCGGGCACTCTATGGCTCCGTCGTCGAACTGCCAGGCTTGGCTACAGCATCCTTTCCTCAAATCGCAGCCAGAAAAGCGGCTACGTGATCTGGAGCCGATTATATGCCGCCAGTTAATGTTTATCATTGCCACGCGCTGGGGTTTGCAAAGCACACAACACGCGCTGGATTTCAGACGTTGTAAGGGGTTCAGCTATTGTCGCCATTTGAAGCACTCGGGCACAAGCCACTACCCGAATGATTGTCATCACTGGAGGACGCTGGGACCTCCAAACTACGTCATTATATTTTGCAAAACAGAGTTCGAAAAAAAAAAAAAAAAGACGCTCGCTTTTATTCTTGAAATTACACCGCAACAAAGAGGTTGCTTGGTCGAAAGTGTTACGTGCAGTATACTCCGTTCACAGACTAGAAGCTCCGCTTTTAGCGCGAGCTTTCTGCCCTTGCATTACCTCCTCCATACTCACAAAGCGTTGCAGTTCGACGACGGAGCCATAGAGTGCCCGGTCGCAGATTTGGAGCGCGAGGTTCTGGTAGCACCAGAGCATCAAAAAGTCATTCCTCAAAAATTTTTTTTTTTTTTTTTTTTTTTTTGCAGCGGCGAGGATTTGAAAGACACTTGTTCGCTCGAAAGAGGTGTGTTTCGGCATATCGCCGCAGCGGGGCACCAGTCACGTGGCTCTCCCCTCATTCGTTGTCTCCCTTTCCACCTTTTCCATTTCGGCGGCCGCTTCTCATGGGTATCTGCCAAGCGTTGTCAGTATATAGGAAACTATGGCCCTTGCTAACACAATTGTGAACGCGCAGGCACGCGCAACCGAAGCACCGCGGAAGCCAGTGAGCTCGCGCTGAAGGAAGAGCTTCTAGTTTCGTGTAAACTGTACAACATTCCCTTGAGCTTGAGCTCGAGTGAATGTTGTGCACTTTAATAACACTTTGTCGCACGCGCATGCCAGATCCCGGCCGAAGACGCAACGAGCACGTGCTGGAGGCGTCGCGGCTAGAACAGAAAGCTCTGGCGGCAGGTTCACTCGCCAGTTTTCTCGAACGAATTAGGGTGCCTACATGTCTGTTTGTCTCAGGGTGAAGACATCCATTGTCGCCCCGAGTGTGCCAGCGCGTGACGCTCTCGCGCACTCGGTGCGTGACTTGGGCGGTAAAATGGCGTTTATGCATTAGCCAGAGCTACGCGCTCGAGCTGAGTGACACCGCATTGCGCGCACTTCAAAATGCATAGAAAAAACGATTGGGCGGCAAAATGGCTGAGATGTCACCACTCAAGCAAAAGCGCGTGTGTATGAAGGCACTCTAGAACGAATTGAATATTCACGGCGCCTGGCGGTGTGAAGAAGACGCCGTGAGAGTAGGTTCAAAAACGCGCGATAAAAATCACCGATAGTCCCACTTGATCGATAAAGAGGAACAACAGACAGCGACCAACCTCACGCACTTGCAGCTTACGTGCGAAGGTATCTTGCCACTAAGTCGCATTTTCAAATGGTAGCTATCGCCCGATAAACCATTTTCAAAAGTCCATCAAGCAACATTGATGATGGCCATTTTTTGCCGATCATTTTTTAGACTTAGGCCAGCTGGCGCAAGCTAAACCGCCCGCTTCAAAGGGTGTAGTATAGACATTAACATCCATCCATTGGGCATAAAGCACGTGACTGGATCCGAGTACTCGCCAAAGGCTGACGCTGCCCTCGTGTCCAGTACACGCTCAGAGTAGGTGATCAAGCAATGGCGGACAGGCGATAGACCACTGATCTCAATTACAATTTCTGGATCGCGCTTCCCGCTCCCGTGAGTGAAGCCACCTGACGGCCATCTTGCTCATAGAGGAATTGCGGTTTTGCTAGCGTTACAGAAGCTGGCGGCAGCGTGCTGAAAACACGTTTTCTACTCGTTCGTCGTCATTCGTCGAAGAAGATTTTTCAGACGCCGTGTAAGGGTTGAGACTTGCCGTTGAGAACACGTGGACATTTTTACGAAAGAGCAGTGCAGCAGGAGAAAGCCACAAAAAATAAATGAAGATTTTGTACTACTGATTGGTTTGCCAGAAGCGTCTAGTAAACAAAACAAAAAAACGCGCCGCTGATGCCGCCCCCTTCCCCCCCTCTTTCGTCGCCGCTGGGCACTGGATCAAGCTCATTTCTAGACCGCGAGTGCCGCAAGTTACAAACACAGTCAGAGTAAAAGTTAAACGCTGCTTAGAGGTACATACGGCTTCACGCCCATTGCACTCGCAAAACACATCCACACGGCGTCGAAATGAATCTTCATCGGAATCCAAGCGTGCGAAGGCACAGAGGCGCAGCACTTCAGCGTGCCAAGGAAGCTTTGATCAGGCAGCGAGACCGGTGACACTTGCTTTCAACGAATTGTGCATGCCTTTACATACGGCTTCACGCACATTGCACTCGCAAAACACATCCACACGGCGTCGATTCTGGATCGGTATCCAAAGGTGCGACGGCACTGAGACACAGCACTTCGGCGTGCCAAGGAAGCTTTGACCCCGCCGCGGGACCCGCGAAACTTGCTTTCGACGAGTTGTGCCTCTTTCCTGCGGCACTGCGCTTTCGTAAAATTTTCCACGTGTTTACAACGGCAAGTCTCAATGGATACACAGAGTCTTAAAAAACTTCTTCGGCGAATGACGACGAACGAGTAGAAAACGTGTTTATAGCGCGTTGGAAAACCGCCGCGAAATGCTAGCAAAATCGCAAATCGCCTACGAGCAAGATGGCCGTCCGGTTGCTTCACTCGCGCTGCAGCGAACAAGTGGGGAAGCGCGATCCAGTAATTGTCATTGAGATCAGTGCGATGCGCTTTCGAAAATAGTCTATTACACCCGTTCTGCACTAAGCGCCAAAATGGCGAATCCCAGAAAATAATCGGGGAACGGTACTTTAAGCATATATCTCGTCAACTAGCGTATTAGCCGTGCACCTTGGACGTCCCAGAACAATGTCTAACGCAGCAATGGTCACCGGCGCAGGTCACGACCCGGCCTCGAGTCGAGCCACGTGCAAGTACAGCGGCGGCATGGAAGGCCCCTCAAGTGGCCAGACGTCGGCGCACGCCGTCGCCATGACCACGGTCGACTCGTACGTTCACTTGGGCCAGTACCCGACGGCCCCCGGTTCCTGGAACGCGCACCGGTTCGCGGACCAGTTCAACCAGGACCGGTTCCGGGGCTGTTTCGGTGGCCGCGACGAACTGGACGCGGCCAGCGGCCTCATGGGCAGCCCCGTAGAACGGCAAGGAACGGCGGTGGATCACCTGTACCGGAACCACAACTACGGGGCGGACTTCCGGTTTCGTTCCCCCGCTCCGGGAGGCTTCGTGGACGCCGACGGTTACTGTTCCGCACGGGCCCCCGCGACCCTGCTGGGTCCCGTGTTCTCTCACGTGGTCCAGGCGGGTCAGGATCCGTTCGGTCAGGGGTCTCAGATGGTTGATGCGACGCCGGGGTCCTGCGCTTACGGGACTGCGCAAGCCTTGGCGGGTCACTTCTTGTCGCCGAGGTAGCACCGTCGCTTCCTTTCGTCTTCTGAGCCTCCTCGACCGACGACCTCAACTTCAAGTGGTGTGGCGTGTCCTCCGTCAGGATGTCTGGTGTTCACTATCGGTGCTAGTGACTGCGACGCGGCCCAGCAACGAACGGGCCGGACAAGACAAGCGTGATTCTTCATCCACCATTACGCTTCTTCGGGGCATCGAAGACATCGTGGCCATTTATCAAGCCTACTGAACCACAGTCTTGTAGGGTAGATGGTACCATCGCAAAATTGCGTGACATCGTGTGGTAGACCGAATGCGAGTCAGGACAGAGTGAACGATTCAGGTCCAGAAGAAGCTTGGATTCGCCGCGTAATTGGGATGTTTTGGCCTATAAGGTTTTACGTTCGACCTCGTGACGTCAGAAACATTGCGCCGCTTAACCAATCAGGTTCTACACATGGCCTTGTGACGTCATAAAATTCACCATCGGCGTCTTGTATATGTCCTAGGAAGTGTTGATAGGACACTTGCCCCGGACTCTTGATGAAGTGCATCGTGTTGGACTGTACGGGGAAGCTCAGTGCCTTAAGTTCCGACAGTTAAAGCTCTCTCTTGTTCACACGCGGCGTACCTCTTCCAACAACTCACGGATGATGACGTGTCCCAACGTAAAGGGTTCCCGGATGTGTCGCGGACAGCTCTCACGTGATCTCGTGTTCTTTCCACGCTCAAGTACTCCCTGCGCTTGGGCTACAAGGAACGTGTTCTGTCGTTTCTTGAAACCGCTCTCCGACCGTTTTTTTTTTTTTTTTTTTTTTTTTTTACCTTTTCACTTTATCTTTGCAGCCAGCGAGAACATTGAATGGTGTTACGCCTTGCGAGGAGTTCCGCGAGGCTCATTATGAAACCAAAGATTTTGTTTGCTATTCGGTAACACCGAGAACAAACCGAGCGTGCTTCATCGCGCATGCGCGTCACTTGTGATTTCTTGTGGCTTCGACCGTAGAGTAGCTGCGCGCCTCTCCCCCTGTATTAAAGGCCGTGGTAACTTCGCAGAAAACTGAATTCTTTATTGCGGCCCAGTGTGGCTAGACTTCAGAGTGTTTTCAACTGTTCGATCGGAGTCATCTGGTTTATAGGCCGCATTTGCAGTACAAGCTGCGGAGTCAAAAACTTCGATCGTCTGCAAGCACCGCAAGCGTCTCCTCCAGCCTTCTTCCTCGCCACGCAACGACGCAACGCGTGCGCACTTGCGACCAGTTCGCACAAGAGGTGACCGCCATTGAGTCTCTCCGTGGTTTGAGTCGCTCCCTCCAGAAACCAGACCCAAAAAGAGGGCTGGTTTCTAAATAGTGCTGATTGTTGGACTGCTGAGTTTTAGGCAACGTTTCAGGATACATGGCAACGCTCGCAGACAAGGAGAAAAAGAAACCCGATTGCCACTGCGAACTATACACGTTTGCAAGCATGGCGTCCCGGCTGTACTTCGTCTTACTACAGTGTACTAGAATACTTGGGTAGTGTTGGGACCGAAGGGGCTCGCCTGAAGCGCGTGGTATTGATCGCGACAGGTGTCGCGTCCGGCGCCTTACCCGGAAGGTGTGCGCATGCGCGGCTGCACGCGCGAAAATATGAATCTTTGGTGCCGCTTTGGTGGAGTGCATGTAGGATTTCTGATACAGCTACGACCTGCCAGCGGTCGTACCGCGGCATCAATTACGCTGCGGCACGATCGTTAGCAACATGATGCTTCAATGTATTGGACGGTACAAGCTACATTACCCTTCCTTTACATAAAAACAATTGCGACTTTAAAGAAGCGGTTTCGGTTTGTCGGATGGTGAGCATTTTAAATGAAATGCCCATTTCCTTGGTCGCAAATGCCGAACATTAGATATTTGAAAGGGATATCTAAAACTCGGAAGCAGTTTTTTTTTTTTTTTTTCCTATCTTATTTTATAACGGAACGAAACAGCACATACTAAAGTTCGAGATTGTTTTAGTATAATTTTAATACCCCAAATTAACTTCTCTGTCTTTTTTTCTGTCCGTCTTCTTTTTCTTGACCTTAATCAGCTCGCTTCACTTGTCACTCATTCTTGTGTCCATTTATGCGACGAACCACCCAAGCGACGATCGCAAAGGGGTGAGAATCTTCTATTTCTTCGTGGCTGCAACGACCATCCGAGAATCACCCGACGTTCGCTTGTACAATTGACAATTGTATAAGTGAAAACTTGTACAATTGTAAAACCGTGACAATTTTTATCACGCGTTTTAACATTTAACTTAAGTCCAAAAACTGAGACAATGTGGGCTGAACAAGTAATGCTTTATAAGATTCAAAGAAAACAAGAAACTATTTCACATCATTTCGAGCAGAAAACATGAGCACACGTAGATCAGGCAAGGAAAAAGTTGTAATAGTTTACAGCACGGCATTGAAATAATGGCTACAATGTGCAGCGCATACATGGTTACAATATGCAGCGCATTATCCTCTTGAGGGTAAACCATCTAAAACCTACACGCTCACAACAATACATTTAACCGACAGCTGCTTTCTGACAACCAGGTAAGTCTCGCCTGAGCTGGGTATTCGAAGGGAAACACCCATGGTTCCACAGGGGGCGTATCTGGTTCACGCAGACATTCAGGGTGTTTTTGTTTTATTCTTTACAGAACTTTACATATTTTACAAAAAAAAAAGAATGTGGCAGATATGTGCATGCCGTCTTTCGTTATATCTGTAGGGTTCGGTGGACAATGAATGGGTGAATAATAACCGTTGCAATGTTTAATAATGAACCAAGATCTGTTAGTTAACTTGTTTATGAACGGCTTATTTGGCCATGGTGCAATTGCAGTTTTAAAAGAAGTCATTATTAAAGGCAAATACAATTTCGACAATTCGCGAAAAGGCAACGAGGTTCGCAAAATTAATCGTAAAAGTTTGCCTTTCTTCGCTTGATTCTGAAACCGCGTTATGAAAATAATAGGTAGAATAGTAACTTAGTCGTCTTGATCTGTGGCGCCGGCGAGTCCACCGAAGAAACGCTGTCGAGTTAGTGACGAGGGGACAGAAACAACCTGCGTCATTCTTCTACGCATCAATATCAGCACAACCTCATTCGCGCTTTCAGCGCGCAGCTTTTTTAATTAAGTGAAGAAAGGCAAAAGTTTAGCGATGAATATCTCAGGACAGAACGAGCGGGTTGGTAGAGATAATTAAGCTTGAGGAAGAAACGAAAATGGACGGACAAACATAACAAAAACGAACGCCTTGTTACTTTCGCTCAAAGCTCGTTGTTTGTTCGCGAACTTTTTAAATTAAGTTGGCCTTTAATGATGGCTCCCTTTAAAGCTGCAATTGCAACATGGCCCATCAAACATTTCATTAACCCTTTGCCTACCGCAAAAATTAAAAAAAAAAAAGAAAAAAAGATTTGGAAATACCGATTTTCACACAAGGTGAAACAACCTTGTGTTGTACCGCAGGAAAGGCTACAAGCGCGAGCTCCTTGCTCTAGGGCACATCTCGGCGGCACGAGCTCCCGTGCACCAAGGGCAGCTGCCAACGCTATGAGCTCGCGCTCCTAGCTTTCGCTACATGCACCGCTCAAAGAGAAAAAAGAAAAAAAAAGGCGGGCTGCGCGAGCCGGATAACTTGACTACAGCGCCGCCACGAACTGTCAATACACGCGTCCTCACGAGCTCCCGTTGCCGAGCCGCTCCGGTCCCAACACTACCCAAGTATTCTAGTACACTGTAGTCTTACCTTAGCATGGACTAACTGCGAAGGCTGTGCAAGCCCGAGCGGGTTGCCTTGACTACCTTGACTGGAGCACTCCCTGCACAAGCGCTCGTGCAGCCACCGAGGCTTCATTCAAAGCGAATAGCTCGCGCTTTTAGCTTCCGCGGCTAACAATAGTCCATGCTAAGGTGAGACGAAGTATAATGCCCCATGCGTTAAAGCACGTGCAGCAAAGGTGGATTTGGCAGGCTTGCAATTTCACGTGCTTCCTCACACGAGCAGGAATATGGCGGTGGTCACATTCCCCGCTTGCAAACGTCTGAACTATACACTGTTCGCCTGCAGCCAAAGCCACAAGCGCGAGCTAGCCCGCGTTCCCGGTTTTGAGAAGTGCATTTCTAGCGCGAGTGCTCTGTCTGCGGCACCGTGGTCTGCGGGAGAACGTCTCAAAGCAGAGAGTTCGTGCTCTCGTGCTTGATGAACGGAGTAGATACAGTATAAAGCAACCAGAGAGCAACTAGCTACACTTAGAGTATCCGCACACTGTTTCCCTATATCGTTGTGGGCGCCGCCATCATGATGCTTGTGCAGAGCAGACGCAACTGCCGATGCATGATTCAAAAGTGCCACTTTCTCAGCATTAGATTCGGTGAAGAAGCTCGTGTAATATCGCCTTGCTCTGCCCGCGAACTGTTTACACATTTGCGAACGACGGAAGAGCGTTTCCTGTGATTTCAGATAAAGCTTCAGATAACTCGCAACCATGATTTTAAACCACAATGTGGCCAAGTGTCATTACTCTGAAGCGTAGCTTATTTAGTGCCACTATGTATATATATATAGTCAATACTATAGGGGACGACTTTTCTTGGAAATAAAGCCAAAACTCAATGTGAGCTCGCACACATTGAGCGCGGATCATGCTGTGCTCAAGCGGTCCACCTCTTCGGAAATGCCAAGAAAAGTCCCCTATTCGCGGTGAGAAGCTCGCTAGGGGCGCTTCTGTTCTCCTCGATATGGGCAGTGCACGTGCTACCCACGCGGTTATGCTTTAATTTTCATAGTGCATAAAAGCTTGGCATTGCACCTTGCTTGCGCAAGCAGAGCAAGTTAAAATATCCTCACTTTGGGTTGTGAAAAAATTCCACCAGGAGGCGATACACAAACTTCTCGCCGCGACGCTTTGCGCACGCGCCAAAAAACAGCCGGCATTGCTGACCTTGTCTTGTCTTAACCAGATGGCGAGTCACTGAAGCGGGCGTGGACGAGCCTCCCCAAAGTCAATGCTGGGGAGCAGGACACAGTAGAATCTAAAATGGCAATAACCTGCCCTGCTGAGGTAATGATGAAGTGAGGTAAACGTAATAAGAGGAAACAAAAACTGAAGGTCAGTTATGGCGGTGCCCATGCACAGCCGCTGTGAAGCGTCTATTCGCGTCTCCAGCTCGTTGCTCGCCCTCCCGCGGCGGAAA